TGATGATTGCTTGCATGTCCTGACCTTTTTGGGGCTGGTAAAAGAAAATAAACAAGTTAACAAATGTCAAACCCTAGCGAAAAAGAATGGGAATAAGGGAGAGGGAAGCAAAGTTACTCTGGACTTAAGTGTTGTCTTTGGTAACTAAGTATTAGTTTCTCAGGTCTACATGCTCAGTTAATGTCTAACATTTCTCTGGTAATCTATTCACCAAACATGTTTGAAGACTGTAATCACATTTTTATCTTCTAGGTTATGGCAGGAGATCAAGCAGCATCAAAATTGAATCTTTCAAGGGATGTAGATGTTACAAAGCTGAGATATTTTACCATTGAGGATTGTGGAGGACACTTTTTAATATCAAATGTTGATCCTGAACTAAAGCAGGCCCAGCAATATGTCTGTCAACAACTTGAGGAAAAACTTGGTGTGGAAGTGGTGAAACTTAAAATTGAGAAACTTGCAAACTCCCTTGAGATTTGGTCATCAATGATGTCTTCTGGAGCACAAAAGTCATTTTGTTATTATATGGGTAATCAAAAGTCAGAAGTTAATCCCTTCTGGGAACTTTTGAAAGCTTGTGTTGGACTCTCTAATCACACACTTCCTGCAATTGGTTTGGGCATGTTGGAAAAATGTGAAAGTTTAACACCTAAAAGAGTCTCTGAGTCCTTTATTCGAATGGCTGAGGAGCTAAGACTGGAACTTGAAGGTATTTTAGGTGAAGATGGGGTCTTAATCTATCCCTCTCACCCATCAGTGGCTGTCAACCATTGTGTTCCCTTGTTATTTCCTTTCAATTTCTCCTACACAGCCATTTTTAATGTCCTTTATTTCCCTGTGTCTCAGTGTCCTGTTGGGCTGGGCAAGTCAGGCTTACCTCTCGGAATTCAAGTGGCAGCAGCAAACAACAATGACTGTCTGACCATTGCTGTTGCCACAGAGATTGAGAGGCTATGTGGTGGTTGGGATGGGTTGTTTAAACAAAAGCAATCTCCTCAGAACATGGAACCATAAAAGCAAAATTTTACTCTAGATGGCTTTTGCAATGCAAACAAAATTTTGCCGATTGCCCTAAGGTGCAATAGGTGCTTCATCGTACCCAAATGCAAGACAGATGCTTTTAGAAACAGTTTTATTATAAAATCCTGTACCGTTGATATTAGGGTTAATATTAGGTTTTTCTAAGTCCCTTCATTGTATTTTATCCCTTTTTTACGTACTTTATATTTAAAGTATTCAATGTTATGTACCCATTATATTAGTTTAATCATTTGTATATACGTAATTCAGCCTTTGGGCTGCAATGTATATGGCCATTAAACTATCTATCTTTCTATCTATCTATCTATCTATCTATCAATCTATCTATCTATCTATCTATCTATCTATCTATCTATCTATCTAATTTGAATGTATCATCAAAGTTGAAATGGTTAATTGGCCCCCGTTACGGTTATAAAAGCTGACGTTTTGAGCGTTAGCCCTTCGCTCTGATGAAGGGCTAACGCTCGAAACGTCAGCTTTTATAACCGTAACGGTGGCCAATTCACCATTTCAACTTTGTTGATACATTCAAATTATTTCGTTACCCCCACCGACGCAGCCCCAAACAGTTTCTTTAGAAACTATCTTTATTCATATCTATCTATCTAAAGTATCTATCTATCTATCTATGTATCTATCTATGAAAATATGGCATATTCCAAGCACTGTAATTAGTCCACATATCTGAAGAAAATTAAAATAACAGTATACTTGATAGCACAAGGCACAAGCTTATTGTAAACAATAATAATGATGATGATTTATTGCAGAGTATCCAATGAAGCGAGGTTCTTCATCTACAATATCTACACTATAAATCAACTCTAAAAAAGAAGAATATACATATAAAAAAGAAAAAAAATTTTAAAAAAGGGAAAAAAATTTATAATGGGGCTTGCTGCTTAAAGTTCCTTACATAAAAGATGTCTCTTCACACTACGACAGAAGGGATTGTACTCAGTTATCATGTTTCTAATAGCTACAGGGAGCTTGTTGAAAGTAGTTGCTGCTGAGTGCTGAAATGTTCCTGATTCTTTCTGAATGCAATTGAAGATCTCAAGCTATAAGCACTGACCTTGTGTAAATTTACTTTAAGATATTCAGGAAACGTTTCATCCTTTAGCAACTTATGAGTTCATATAGACTAAAAGTTGTGAAATAAGTTTCTGGTATTTTATCCATGGAAGCAAATTTTGACTCATAATGGAATTTTAACACACATATACGGGGCAGTTTGTTTGTGACTACCTGTAAATTTACTACTTTTTCTAGTTTTCCCATAAAAACAAACAATCTTCAGCCCTTTCGCTTTTCCTTTGACTTTTTGTTCCCCTTCTTGTATTCAAACTTATTGGCTGGCAGCTTAGTGAGGTGTGCATATTCAGCAGAAGCACCTTTCAAGGCGGCACTGTTATTCACCCGCTCACATAGTTTCTGATGCCGATTCTAATGAGCCTGACAAGCAAGATGTTAAACACGAAGGTGCGCTATATAAGGAAGTCTTCCCTGGGAAGACCTAGGCTCATTTGTCACTTACCGTTGACGTGTGCGGGTCAAATTTAAATGCTGGTAGACGAAAAAAAGGAGCTAATGAGGTATCTATTGTTTACTTCCACCAGCATGGTGGCATGAGGTAACGTGCGAACCACCGACTTCGATCTCAAATTTACCGCCACACAAAGAGACAGTTTCCATTGGAGAAAGGAAATACAAATCTCAAAAATTCTTGTATTGTGACGAAGACATAAACAATTTTGAGGAATGCGCCCGCTGTTCACTACTTTGGAGTAGCTGTAGCTCAAGCTGACTTGACTCTAAGAGTTCTACATCACACGACGGTTGATTGACAAATGGTCCAGTGGGACCTAAGACCCCCTTTATAGCGCGCCTTCGTGTTTTAAAAACGCATTGGAGATAACCTAGAACAACTTCCACATACCATACAAACGTTTACGAGGGGGAATACAACGAACAGACGATTTTGAAAAATGAACAATCAATCCTCAACTGTATTTCACTTACCAAATTGCGCCTAGGAAGTTTGCCATTCCTATCAGCCACTCCTGAAGTTAGCTGGATACCCATGAGGTCCTCACCAGCTGCATTTCTCTGGGTTGAAATGTCATTAACCCCTTCATGGGATGTATATTTTGACTCCGATCACCACGATCCTGGCGAACAGGATGTTAACAATGCATCAGAGAAAACCTAGAAAAAGCTCCCACATACTATGCAAACATGTATGGGTGGAAAATATCCAGATGGTAGAAAAGGGTTTTTTGTCCCATAAAAAAAAAAGCCATGATTCTAGGTTAACCTTCAACCAGAAACAACGGACAAAGCAATACAACTGATTTGCTGGCCATAACCAGATATTAAATTTTGGAAAATGAACAATCAATCTTTAACTGTATTTCACTTACCAAATCGCACCTAGGACGTTTGAAATTGCCATCAGTCACTCGTGGAGTTAGTTGGATATCCACGAAGTCCTCACCACCTGCACCTCTCTGGGTTGAACTGTTATTGACCTGCATCTTAGTGACGTGTGCAAATTCAGCACAAGTATCTTTCAAGGTGGCACTTTTATTCACCCCCTCGCATAGTTTCCGATGCCGATTCCCATGAGCCCGCTGGCAAGCAAGATTTTAAAAACGTATTAGAGAGAACCTAAAACAACTTCCACATACCATACAAACGTTTACGAGGGAGATGTGATTTTTTATCCCCTAAAAAAAAGTCTTGATTTTTGGTTCCTTTCAACCAGATACAACGAACAGATGATTTTGGAAAAATGAACAATCAATCCTCAACTGTATTTCACTTACCAAATTGCGCCTAAGACGTTTGCCATTATTATCAGCCACTCCTGAAGTTAGCTGGATATCCATGAAGTCCTCACGAGTTGCACCTCTCCGGGTCGAACTGTTATAAACCCCTTCATGTATATTCTGACTCCGATCACCACGATCCTGGCGAACAAGAAGTTAACGACACATCAGAGAAAACCTAGAAAAAAGCTCCCACATACTACACAAACATGTACGGGTGGAAAATATCTAGATGGTAGAAAAGAGTTTCTTGTCCACTTGAAAAAGCCATCATGCAAAGTTTTTCTTCAACCAGATACAACGAACAAATGATTTTGAAAAATAAACAATCAATCCTCAACTGTATTTCACTTACCTAATATCGCCTAAGACGTTTGCTATTCTTATCAGCAACTCCTGGAGTAGGTTGGATATCCAGCTCGTCCAACTCAATAGAAAGTTGGTTGGGGCGGTTGTTCCGCCAAGCCTTTCATCGTCTGGGAAAGAAAAAAATCATCATAAAGAAAAATGTTAAAAACATAGGCATGCTACACATGCAAGTGTTATTTCAAGGGTGGGTAGGTTGGGGGTAAGACACTGAATTTTCATGATCTCAGTAAGTTGACCTCTTATACTTAGTTGAGCTAAGATGTTTTTACACTTGTTCAGTAACCAGCTACCAGACATTTCGACGTCACAATTTGCCCGCGCACAGGCAAATGATCTGCAACCACCGAGGTTTTGCATTACTAATGTAATACTCTTTATTTTTTATTGTCAGAATCGCTGTCAAATTTGGTGTATTCGCTAAAATGAGTTGAGGTCTAGGACCGGATTGAACACGAGGTGTGCTGCTTACTTGTGTATAGCGTCAATAAGGTACACATGACCATGATGTGATGTGATGTGATGTGATGTGATGTATACAGAAAAATTCGCAATCCGGTCCTGGCAGCCGTGATAACGTTAAGAAGAAAGTCAACGAAACACGTATTGACTTACTGTAGAGTGCCTCTATAAGAACTTCAAACAATCATGATGTAAAAGTTTCATAATTTTTTATATCCCTCGGGTTATAATATGATTGTAAAACTTCATCTCTAAAGAATCTTAAATTATACTTAAGCTTTGATTAGTCACGACATGATACCGCCGCGACTAATCAAAGCATCGGCAGCTGTGATAGCTGAGCCCAATGCTAATATGTTTAATGCCTCAATTGCTGAAGGTTGCTACGCGAGTGTCTGGAAAGTGAGGCAGGTGACACCGCTGTTTAAGAAGGGTGATGAATTTAAAAAAGAAAACTATAGGCTTGTCACTGTCCTACCTGTACTCAACAATGTACATGAGAGGCTGTTAGTAGCACAGCTGAGAGACTTTTATCAAGTGATCCTGTCGGATTCCATCAGCTCTTACAGAAGGTTCTACAGTTTCGAGACGGCGCTGCTAAAGTTGATTGAGGACTGGAGGGCTATGCTCGATAAAGGGGAATTAGTTGCGGTAGTCTCAGTGGATCTTTCTAAGGCTTTCAAATGTTATTCAACACAATCTACTTTTAGCAAAACTCAAAGCTTATGGTGTGGGAGACAGAAGCTTAGCACTCTTCAAGGATTACTTTTCGGGGAGACAGCAGAGAGTCAAGATTGGGGACACCTTTTCCAGTTGGAAAGATGTTAAAAGAGGAGTTCCGCAAGGAAGTGTTTTGGGGCCTGTGTTTTTTAATATATTCATCAAAGACTTGTTTTACTCGGTTACGCACGGTAAATTTCACGCATATGCGGACGATCATCAGTTATACTCTTCTGATGTCGACCCAGTAGCTCCAGAGAACTGTATTTCTCGGGAAGTGCGAGTTGTAAATAAGCGGGTATCGCAGCAATGGAATGATTGTAAATGAGACAAAACACCAGACTATAGTCTTGGGAAAAACAGGCCACTCTTCTCTTTTCCATTAGAAGATTCTTTGGATAAATTTGGAATAAATATTGACAATAGGTTGCGTTTTGATAATTATATATCAACTATTTGTAAAAAGATAAATGGCCAGTTCAATGTAATGCTAAGATTTCGGAAACTTGTCTCTAATGGTACTCTACTAAGATTGTATAAGGCTTTTATTATGCCACATTTCAACTATTGTTCGTCTGTATGGCACTTTTGTGGTGCGAGCAGTACTGAGAAGATAGATACTTTAAACAAGCGAGTTCTTAGAGTTATCTTGCTGGATTATAATTCTTCGTATGACTCTCTACTTAGCAAAGTTAACTCCAAATCTCTGTATAAAAGACGCCTTCAGACTTTCTTAATTATATTGTACAAGAGCTTGTTTTTTAACTGCTATCCAGGCTATCTAAGGAATATGTTTAGTTTCAGGTCTGTATCCTATAATCTACGCGGAATGTATATTTTGTCTCTACCGTCTACAAAAACTACTACTTATGGTCTTCACTCCTTTTCATATATGGCTTCAAAACTATGGAACTATCTTCCAGATTCTCTTAGAACGTCTGACTTTTCTGATTTCAAGCGCAAGATTCTACAGTATGACTCTTTCTCATTATTAAATTTTAGAATGTTAGAATTTTACATTTTACATTTTAGTAGTATTTAGAATTATACTTGTAACTCGAAGATACTAGCTTATGCTTTAGCTACTCCAAATTCGAGATTTAATAAAGTATATGTATGTATGTAGGTATGTATATTCAGTTCCTACAAAGTTGTTTGGGCGACAAAAAATTACGAAATATTTTCTTTCATATTGTCACAAGCTTTAGAGAACAAAAAACTTATGATTTCCCACGAGGAATTGGCCAAAATAAGCAACGATGAAATAGTCCTGTCCGTAAATACTTGTGACAAGACGAACGAAAAAAAATCTTCATTTCATTACCGCCTCCGGCAAAAAGAGTTTATCACTAAATTCTAATGTAAAGAACTATTACGTTGAACAATGATCAACAGTCGTGAAACATTTATTCAAACTCGTCTCAACCGCTAAATATTCGTCGTGGTGAATTCCCAAACAACGAAGCTGCAGAAGATAATGATTTACGTCGGGTGGTGGGGACTGTAGAGTTGGAAAAATCAGCCAAAGGAAAAGTATGTTCAAAAGTACTACACGTATGTATGCAAGCTTATGCACCTCCATGGACTTTCGGCTCCACTGAATATTCTTAGTTAGGTTACTTGTTTTGGACAGTCCAGTACATTACAACCTGAATAACTCGTACCCACCTTTTACTTCATTACAATATTATGGGTCTCAGTTGTGATAATAAGAAACGAGTTACAGGAATTCACTCTATTAACAGTTTATCCAAATATTTCTTTTAGTATGATTGACATTTGATCTAAACAGTTTTTGAGCCGTGGTCATGTTGTATTTCAATCAGTTTTGAATATCATCCGAAAACAAGAGGAATATGATGCGCCAACCTGAACGAAGAAATCGGAGCTTAGAAATGTCGATAAGTTTGCGAATTACGATCCGCCACGAAAGAAAGTTATATGATCCATTCTCTCTTTATAATGTTACATTATCTAATTAATATTTAATGCAGATTTTTAATTCATGCGCCACGGGAAGTTCCTTGTTGCTGATCATCAGATCATGTGTTTCTAGTACATGTATTAAGAAACTTCTCTGCCAAGATGTTGCTACGCATCTAAATATTGGGAACTAGGTATTGAGCACATCGAGCAAGGCACCAAGACTCTCGAACTGTCTCGGTTCTCCAGTTCAGTTCCACTTACATCCATTTTTACTTCATTCTATGTAACTAGCTCTGGTTGATTTCTTAGGCTCTCACACATTGATTCTCTCTGAGTGCTTCTCACTGACTTGTGCTGCTAAGCATTCATCTCTACACATTGTCTACGTTCTTCTTGTTTACTTCTAGGGTGTGCGATGATTTCGAAAGAGGAAGAATGAATGAATGGTAAGGAAGTTATATAGCGCTAATATTATAAACAATAATCAGAAGCACTTTACAGAAGTTAAAGTTCATACAAATTAAAATTAAAATATTCAAAGGCAATAAACATTAGAACTATTGAAAGAAACTAAAAGCTTTCCTAAATAAAAATGTTTTAAGTTGCTTTTTAAAACTGGCGAGGCTACTACTTGTTCTTATAGTTAATTGCAGCGAGTTCCATAAAGCAGGTGCAGCATGAGCGAAGCCCCGATCCCCAAGTGGAGAGCAGTTGGCTTTTGGAATGAACAGAGGAGATTGTGCAGACGAACGAAGAGCAGAATAATTTAGTAGCTGGTTTCAGGGACAAAAGATCTTTAATGTAGGGAGGACTTTGATTGCGTAATGACTTGTAAACAAGGAGGAGCAATTTAAACTGAACTATGAACGTTACTGGGAGCCAATGTAGGTTGATAAGTGCGGGTGTGATATGATCAAACTTCGCAATCTGAAAAATCACTCGAGCCGCAGCATTCTGAACTTTCTATAAACGATCGAGTTGAAGAGAAATGTGTTACAGTAATCAAGGAGTGAGGATACAAAGGCGTTGACTAGTGTCTTTGTCGATTAAACGGTAAGGAATTTTCTAATCTGTCTTATGTTGTATAATTCCCGAAAAGCCTTGCTACAAATCTTGCCTATGTGAACATTCATTCGCATATGGGGATCGAACTAGGACCCAAGGTTCCGGAGGCTTTCTTAAGATTTAATGAGGGTTTCACCAATGATAATAGATTCAATAGATGTTTTTTCAAGTTGTTGATGGGTGCCAATAATTAAAAACTCAGTTTTCGCGTCGTTGATCATTAAACGATTAGCAATAGAGCCGAGAACGAACATCAGCAGTGCACTTCTCAATCACAGAGACGGCGCTAATTTCGGAACGGATAGAGCAAGGTCGGAAGGAGAGGTAAATATGGGTGTCATCAGCATAACCATGGACGGAAGGGAGGTGCTGAAAAATAATGTTGAAGAGGCGGGAGACGTTGAGAGTGAATAAAATAGGCGCCATACAACAGCCCTGGGGGACTCGACAGTTCAGATTAAAGTCATCAAAAGTCTTATCACCAACAAGTATACGTTGTTTGTGACCGGACAGAAATGAGTCGAACCAATTTAAAGCAGTCCCAACGACTCCAAAACCCTATTGCAAGATATTCAGAAGAATGGAATGTTAAAAGCAGCACTAAGGTCCAAGAGTACGAGAAGGGTCACTTCCTTATTATCCATACTCATTAAGATGTCGTTTTGAACCTTTGATAGAGCAGTTTCTGTCGAGTGATACTTACGGAAGCCGGACTGGAATTTTGGAAGCGGGGCATTTTTTCACAGTGGACGAGAAGTTGTTCAAGTGCATCCTTTTCCTCTATCTTGGAAATGACTGAAAGACTACTGACTGGACCGCAAGTTTTGTAGACCAAATTAAGTCCAGGTTTTTTCAGTAGAGGTATGATAACGGCGGTTCTCCAATTTTCTGGAACGTGCATGACCACTGAGAAGAGAAAGATTTACCATCTCAGTGATAAGGGGCGCTAATACGTCAAGACGGGACTTCAGTAGTCATGTAGGAAGAGGATTCAGCCGACAAGAGGCTGTTACGAAAAATAGTGTTGCGTGACATGCATGACCTTCTGGAAGCTTCGCGAAAGGTCATGGCTTGTTTATTTTAGTGTATTATGTAATCGTTTCTAAAAGCGGTATATTTTGTAATGTTGCTATAATTAGACCTTTTTTTAGAAAGTTCTAAAATTTTATCGCCTAAGTATGTAAGTAGGATAGGTTAAGCTAACTTTTAACTAAGTTTTCACAAGCGAAGAGAGTTGGTTGTTATCAGTCGAGATGGGTCAAGTGTGACGAGGCAGTGTTTGACGAATTTGGCGGAGGCCATGAGTTTTTTCAAGTTTATTGAAGTTGGTGGGGGCAGTGTGCATTTTTCAAGTTGTTTGAAGTTGGCGGAGGCCGTGTGTATTTTCAAGTTGATCGAAGTTGGCGGAGGCCGTGTAAGTTTACTGAGTTACGTGCTAGTGTAGACTTTATTGAGTGGAAGCTACGTTCATTTTGGAATAAATATTCTTGTTGCTGTTCCGACAACCCTGCGTTCTGTTTAGAGTGCAAATCACCTGCCACTCAACCATCGAACTCGTAACAGAGGCATTTTAGGATTCTCGAACAATCTTAGATATATCTTCTATGGATAGCGCAGAAAAACTCTCCAGATTCTCCTTAGGAGTAACATGAATAAGTCGAGGTTCTTGAACTTGAAACTTGACAAGACTTTCCTTTCTGATTTCAATTTTTTGAGTTCTTTTTTTTAAAAAAAATAACTATATGTTAACGTATAGAGTGGTGTGTTTTGGTGTAGTGTTATCTGATCAGCGCAATTTGGTGTATCTCTAAGCAATCTGATTGGCGCATCCTTTTTTCAGTGTATCTCAAAGCAATATGATTGGCGCAATTTTTTGGTGTATCACAAACCAATCAGTATTCTTCCTTATTTCACGATGGCATTCAAGTTTTTATTCCTTATGAAACTTTTTCCGATTAAACATTGCCTTTTTTTCAATTAAACTTCCAAGTTTCAAGTATTAAACATTGTACATTGTACTTCTCATAATTCCATTTTGTAGTTGTGGCAATGCAATATTTTTATACTTATGGTATTGATATATTCAACATGGAGTACTTCGCGCTATGAACATTCAACTTTCCTTTATCTAACCGTAACCCAACTATTAACGAAGGAGCGCAGGCTCAGTAAGGTCAAGTAACTCATGTAAGCCTCATCACTTCGTACCAGGTTATCTTGTGAGATGAAAAGTGGACGATATCTCGTATTTTCTGGACTGTGTTCATAATATCCTGGCTTAAACAATAGTATGTCAGGGGTTTCATTAAGGGCCAGGCTACGGGCAAATTGACCGGTTGTGAAGACGGTTTTGCCCACCTGATTTGACGGTCTGGAGGAAAGTTTATCTTGAAAAAGAAGTTCAGTTCAGAGTTTTGCCCCGCTGTGAAAACCAGTTGCCATCCTGCAGAAAACATTAATGAAACCCCTGGTATGTACCTGACACACTTAGTCCATATGACATCATTCTCCTCTTAACTGTTCTGCAACTTACTCTAAGCATAGTAGCAATCTCTTGTAATTTAAAACCTTGTTCAATTAAATATGAGAGCTGTTCCTTGCTTATTACGTACGAGGGTCGTCCACAATTACCATCTTGTTGCACGCTAGCGCTACAACCTCCATAAGAATTCTCAGTTCTTTCGATTTCTACCAGCAAACTATGAGCTCTTCCTATGGTTTCTGTTATGAAATCATCGATGTCTAGATTTACCAACATCCTTTGCAAAAAATCTACTTTATCAACAAGAAGCTGAACATTTCCATGACTGTTATGTATGCCTTGAACATTATTTAAAATGTCTAGGATATTATGAACACGTGGACCGTAGGGGAAGTTAACAAATAAACGCCTCTGCCTGCAGGGTACATTTTTTGCGTCGACTGCCGCGTTAAATATCCGTTTCTTTGCTTCTAAAAGTTCTCCATGAATTAAATATTGTTTAAACGGTAATTTACCGCTGCACCTGCGTGTTTACCTTTTACCCGCCAGTATGGACTAGACTTTCTAAGATGAAATACCATTTTCCAGTAAAGAACGTAAATTTTGACATAATTCTACCTCGTTGAGAAATATTTCACAAGGAACAGGATGGTACAGTCAGTCAATTTACCATGCAACTCTCACGTGCTTAGACGTTTTCTACCAATAAAATTCGCTATTAGCTTCCTTGGACTTTACCCCTTTACCCCACAAGTTCATCACGTTTTCCGCTTAATCTCAAACCTCTGCACTTTAACCATCGTTTCAACTGATCTACAGTGTAGTCCTTTGGTTATCGTTCAAGATTTCGAGCCAGGAACGCCATCCGCTTGGGTTGAAACGGTCAAAGAACGAAGCGAAGCGCTCGCAAGGCACTTGGAGTAGTTTGTTCGTCTGAGTCAAGTGGGGGGTCTCAAATTTTGTGACGTCATATGTGCGCGACGCCATTGAGAAATGGTCTGAAGACCCTGCACGTTTTGGATGAGATTATCAAAGACCAACTGTATTTGAAAACCTCTTTTTAAGCAATCCAAGTGATGTGGATTCTGTCAAAGTGATCAATTCTTTCCGGCATTCAATGGTCGAAGACTGTGCTACCAAAGACTACCAAGTGCAGTACATCCATGACTGCTCAAAACAAGGTAATATTAATAACTTCTATATACAAATTCCAAAGTCAATTTTGGTAAAACGTACACAGGGTTTAGAGTTTTCAAAATATGGGGTTCAGCAGATGTGCTGTATCAGAAATATATGCAGAAAACATCACAATGCCTTATCAGTGATAAAAGACTGATGTTTTATTCATCTTTACCTTTAAATCTGACATAGCACTAATGTTTTATGCATAAGCACCGTGATGCTATCAAAGTCCTCAGTTTATCACCCGATCCAACACGTAACATAATATTAAATATATTTCCTATTTTTATTCACTTTGTTTAGGTCTTCAGGACCTTCAAAGATTCGTAACTGGATCTTACTCATTGCCACCAGGCACAACAGTCTCTTTTGTGCTCACTGATGATAATGAGGGACGTACTTTTTGCCTCAACTTGTCTTCAGCAGCTACACCTACCTCGATGTTTTAAATCATATGAGGAATTCTAGTTAGCTCTGAATGCTGTATACAAACCATCAGCCCAATCATTCAATGCGACATAAATAGTTTACACATGGGGGATACATACACTCTATATAGGAGTGTGAGCATGCTCATTGTAAATTTGAAAAGAGACCCAGCCCCAAGAGATTACTAAGTCTTGTTCAAGTGGGACTTGGCAATGCAGGATTATTACCCCTAAAAGGTTCAACAAAGTGTTTCTATTTACATGCAAACAATTTCATGGTCATTAATGAGATCCTTGTCAGTTCTAATTTTATTGTTGATGGAGGAAAGCTACCTGAAAAAGTACAAACTAATATTAATGTATTCCAATAAACTCTAAAACACTTCAAAAGGGACCAGATTGCTGTTTTTATCGTTAAAAGTACATTGAGCACCCCCATCCCCTAGTGTGTTGGAACCCTGCCCCCAGGCTTCATTTTTCATTGCAAACAGCCAATACAACAATTTTTTCACATTGGATTTTGCACCGTTAGAGTTATTCCATTTTCTAAATTTGGGTTCTTGGATATGTCATTGTCCTATTTCACTATGACCATACAATATGTTTGCATGGGGGACAGAAACAATCAAAACAATATGGATTTTTACTAGATATTCTCTCTCTTCCGATATATATATATATATATATATATATATATATATAGATACTTTCTAATTTTTCTATCAGTTGACTGAATGATTGTTTGGAATTATGTATGTTTTGTTGTCTATTTTGTCTCTTCTCATTGTCTTTTGTCACCCTTCAGCAAACATGATCTTCAACATTGAAAAAATGCAATGTTTTGATGTGTCGTCGTCTACTGAAATAGGAATTTGCCCAAAAAGCTAGTTTTGTTGATTTTTTACATCAGATATTTAACATTTGTGTTGCATGTATTGAAAGGAATGAAATTACTGCAGTAAAAATATCAATACCATAACTATTGCTTTGTCTAAGAGGATCTATAAAAGTACATATTTCAGCATGCTTGTCTGCACTTTAATGGGCTGGGTGTTTCTGGCACTGTAACAACACTACATTCTTCATTCTCAGGTAGTGGTCCATCCCAGTCAATGCCATATGCATTGATCTCCTCCTAAAAGACAAAAGGTACTAATTCGGCAATTCTAGTAAGGTGTTATCACTTAATTTTATCTTATGTCACATGGAATTTGGACCTGAAAGCAAGTAGAAAGTACAAGTTTATTCTGCCTCTTTCATTAAACTAGAACATGTGAGCAGGGTGAGCTCATGCCCTGTTGTATTATGGCGTAGATTAGATTTGCATATACTTATTTTTAATGACTAGCATTTTCGAGAAGTGAATGTTCTGTGTACTTTAGCAGTCACAAGGGTTAAAAATATTTGAAACTGATAGTTATAGTTCTGTCTTTGATTTTGTTGGCTGAGAATGGAATTTAGTTTGGACATTTTATAAGATCACACAATTCCAATTGATCTGGGAAAACAATTAGATATTCTTGTATTCTCGATCAGCCAGTTGTTTAGCTATTGTCATGTGAGCTACAGTGTTCCACACCCTTCAAGATCTTTGATTCTGAAAGGTTTAATATAAGTTATTTATACAATAATTGATATCCATTCAGTTTATGGTAGCAAAAAAGGATTGAAAATAATTAATTATTGAAATCTTGGGTGGAATTCCGATTAATAATACATCTCCTGAAAATGCAAGTCTGGTGGAAAAAAGGAGAAACTAATACAAGTCAATATGTAAAAGCCTGTGGCTAATATCCGTCATTTGTTTATTACTTACATCTGACAATGATTCATAAATCTCCCTGGCCACTACAGATTCAGTTCCTCTCATGCGTAGAAGCCCCAAAATATAAAGCTGCATGAGTGATCTGTTACCAGCTGTCCTTATTCTGTGTCGTATATAACCTTCTCTCCAAGTATCTAGATGTTGGTTAATACTTGGTACATAGGTATAATGCAGACCATATAGGTGGACTTGGTTTGCAGGATCAAGAATGCCACACTCTTCAAGATGATAAAAAAGATGGTAGCATATATACAACACACCTTCAAACACATCCCTCCACAGTCATTCTATCCTTTGGTTATGGGCGCTTTTGCCTGTACTTATACTGCCTCTTCCAGAGCCTCGCTGTGGATGTTGGAGCATAAACATAGATACTCCAACACTCTCACCTCCCTGGTCTGATCTAACTCTTGAGGGGAGTCCATACTCTGCTACTGCATCAAGGAAAAGTCTAAGAACAGTATCTGCAGTATTGTTTGTTCCAGCTCTAAGAAAAACAGTGTCACCAATTAGCACCTTGCTAGTCAGGAGCTAGATCCCTAACAGACACATAAATAAAGTTTCATCATCATCATCATCATCATCATCATCATCATCATCATCATCATCATCAAAACAGAGAGTCGAGTATAACCATCTATTCCGCCATGCAACACGATCCTCCATCTAAAGTAAATAAATTACATTTAACAATTCTGTTGTAGGCATGACTGGGTTGAATAGCGATTTAGTGGGTAAATTATCATCCATTGAATAAAATCCATGCAAAATTTATGGAGTGGATAACTTTGTCTGCCTTTTGTAGAACTGAGCTTATGATTACAATATTAACCCTAGGCCCACCATGCAATACAATGAAATCTTGTTCATGTGGCCACCAAAGAGAAAGTCCTCAGTGAACATATTAATGGGGTGCCCATGCAGGAAATATATAAAATCTATAAGCAAAGCTCAGATAAAGTGCAACGGAGGGGTTGGGCTGGGTTCCACTGTATGCATGAACTATTATATTAAATGAAGAATAAATGCAATTATCATATGACCAGTAGCGCACTTTCTAAGAAAACATTCCAACAAAATAACGCCATCAGAGCCGTGTGCGCTATCGCTTTTTTTCAATGTTACAAGTGTTTTAATAACTTTCTTACCTTTTTTCATAACTGAAATCATATGATAAAATGCTTATTGACTGAGTTCAGATGGGCTGTACAGGAAAATATTTGGCTCTCAGTCATTTGTACCGACCTTCCTTGCTGTGCTCAGTCCATAGCACATCACCTTGAGCCAAATATTTTTCTGTAAGGCCCTACCAATCAGACAATAAGTACATAGTGTAATATTATAAGCTTAGTCACTAATGAAATATTAAAGTTTGTGTTCACCTGATCAATTCATGGTTGCCACCTATATGCCACAGAGCCAGTGGCCCACTGACACTGTACACAGCTCTTGGAGTTAGAGATAGCCACCTCATAGCTACTCCTTCCAGATCCGTCCTTTGCATGCATTCACAAATTCGCAACTGCGACACATTAATGTTCCGCAATACAAGCTGTGATTTAACCCTATGATATCCCACATTTGGAAAATCCAATTGAACAGCCCTAACAATGCTATCAAGATCATCATCTGATATGGTTGTTCTTTTATCAATAATTGAGATATTATAATCACGCAGTCACCTTTTTATCGTACTTTCACTCACACAAAGGGCTTTGGCAATGGGATAAAAGTCTCATAACATCTGAAAGTGATGTGCAAACCATATCAAGCAGTTGCATATTGTCAGCAAGACCTGCCAAATGATGTGATATTTGCTGCAAACGAAACAGCACATAATCACGCATGTCTTCACTGACTGTATCTTGTTGAAGTCTTCTCGCAAGGTCAATTAAAGTACAGCAAAGATTGTTAAAAAATTGTTGTTGTTCAGTCTGGAAGGACGCCATTTTGTTGAACCCAGGTCCTCTTAAAGGCAACTTTAATTAAAGCTACAAGGAAAGCCTGGTAGAAGTGAGAAGTCAGAAAACGTCGAGAAATTGTAAATCAGAACATGCGAAGTGTTATCTCAGAACGGAACTTCATGAATAATGTCGCACATTTGCTTATGTATATTTTAAAGTTAGGAAATGGTGAACATGTAATTTTGCAAGTCAGAACATGGGCAAATCTTTGGTTTCGTAAGTCAAGGAATGTCATATATTTTAAAGTCAGGAAATGGTGAACATGTAACTTTGCAAGTCAGAACATAGGCAAATCTTTGGTTTCATAAGTCAAAGAATGTCATATATTTATATTTTAAAGTCAGGAAATGGTGAACATTTTGATTTGCAACTCAAAACATGGGCAAATTTTTAGTTTCAATTTTGACCTAGAAAACGCGCCATATCACGACCATGTGTTCGTTTCAATAGCACCAGGACAAGCACAAACACTAAACTGGATATTACAATGAGCTCTCTACTGTCCAGTTGTTGATAAAGGAAGGCAAAGCACCCACAAATGAACAAGAGGAGAAAGAAGTCTCCCCTTCTTGGATATATAATGTATGCCCGAAAAACTGAGGATATATACTGGAGATGAACTTTCTGTGCTTGGTTATGGATGCCAATACGAGACAGCTCCCAAGCAGCAAACAGATTGGTTAAGAACAGCGGGTTTAACACACGAGCGTAAGGGTGGCCAAACACTGCAAACGCAGTTGATAGTGCCACTGCAATGAACAAGATGGTGTTTCGCATTCGAGGTAATGCCATGATCTTAACAAATGTGTATGTGCGAGAACTGGAGAGTTGAAAGGCAATATCTACTGCATACTCCTGACAACTGTTACCAGACACCATCGGCTCGGCATCCACAAGCTCTCTGATTTTCGTTTCTCTCTGAGTTCGAGTGACAAAGCCGACATGGTCGAGACGGTATTTGGCTAGTGTATCCTCTTCCATTTCTTTAAACGGAATCTTTTTTCCTTTACCAGATATAACATTTCCAACAGCGTGTGTGTAGAAGTATCCACCACTCTCCTGTATCACAACTGCCCAATGGTTGAGAGTGGTGGAACTAGAAAAATCTGCCTTGTCCAGGTCTATTTGTTCAATGCACCTTGCTATGTAAAGCTCCTGATCAGTGGCGACATTCAATCCCACAAGTATTCTCCATAGAATAATAATGTAGGGAAGTCCATAGAGTATTGGGAAAAAAAAGCCAGTGGCTGCCACTAAAATAACTCCTGTCCTGAAAATCACTTCGTACTTGAAGAAGGTGAGGACAAAAAACAGGCAAATATAACTCATAGAGGAAGCAACAAGGAACGCGGAGTCTTCGAACATTGTTGGTCATGAAGGTCCCAGAGGTTTTTCTTGATATTTCACCGGAGAGCTACGAATTTAAACTTCAAGTATAGTATTTTAACTGTTTTAGAAGTAATTTGGATATATCAACAAAGTTGAAATGGTAAAATGGCCACCGCAACGATCACAAAAGCTGACGTTTCGAGGGTTAGCCCTTCGTCGGAGCGAATAGAGGAATAGACAACATTCGCATTCCCCGACGGTCCTGGAACGAGTAGGCCCTGAGCATGAATGCGAGGCTGATGCGGGGAAAAAGTTGAAGAGACTTGTAGTGTTTATGTAGTGATTTCTACGATTTCGCGTAAAAATGCCGAAACATCATTGTTATGCCTACAACTGTACCAACAGCGAGGCTAAGAAAATAACTCAATCAAATACCCCGAAGTTGCAAATGTTACTTTCCACTGTTGCCAACAAATGACGAAAACAAACAGTGCGCTCCTGCCTCCTGGGATAAGTGAACAGGAAAGACGTCGAAGGTGAATCGCAGCATTCCGGCTGGAAAGCCTAAATGTCACNAAAGGGTACAAGAACGGGCATTACGTGCTGTATATAATGATAGGAACGCTACGTATGAGGAACTCCTAGAGAAGGGAAGATTCTCTAGTCTTGAGAACAGACGGTTACAACGTATATGTGCACGATCCTTAGACGGTTACAAGATATACTAATTTTAAAGTATAAGGTTAAAAATTCACTAGCTCCAGAGCAGGTATGTAATATGTTTTTTTCAGCAAGAAGAGCATTATAACTTACGAAGTGATTTTCCTGTTCCAAGATATAATACTGTTAAGTATGGCAAGCACAGTATCAGATATTTAGGTCCACACATATCGGGCAAGATAAGCCAGGAACTACGCAGTAAGACCAGTCTTCAGGCATTCAGGAGAGGGGTGCGTGCTCTCAATGTGCTTGGCTTGCTGGATGGCACGTGTGGCTGCTGTGCATGCTCATCTTAAAGAGGTGGGTATGCATAGTGGCTTTTGCTGTGTGGCTGCCTGGTGTATTGGGAGTGTGCTCCCCTATCCTCTATTTAACTCGCCTTATTTAAATTTTCCAGACTTTTAACTTTCTAAATTCTGTATAAACATTCTATTGCTGCTTATATGATTGTCTGTAACAATTTTATATATATTTTATGATGCTTTTTATATATATTACTGATATTTTCAGAATATATCCTTAATATTTTTACATATACTCTATTTAATCTTATATAATACTCATGTTATTCATTATAGTGTCCACAATTAGCTTTTAGCCAAACAAACAAAGGCTGATAGTTTCAAAAGAAACTGTTTGGGGCTGCGTCGGTGGGAGTAACGAAATAATAAACGCCCCGGGCTACTAAACGCCCCGGGCCAAAGCAATGCCATTCAGAGAGTGAAGAAAACATGGAAGCCTCATACGACACCGCCACTCAAGATGATCTACTCGGCAAGTCTTAGGATAACGAACAAATCCCGCAGTACCAAATGCCTAGCAGAACATGCCCAGAATCCCTACAATATAGGGCGAGGGCCAAAATAAGAGCAGATGAGGATTTCATAAATGAGATAAAGCAAATCNAATGAAAGGACACGTTTTGCATCGTGCACGAGCGCATTTAAAAGTGCCTGGTTGGTCATTAGTCTGAAAAGAACTTCTGACCAAAAAATTGCCTATGTTTTTGCCGCGTTTGAATGAAATGAGCGGAGGCTGCGAAAAGATAGTGCTTGTCTCTCAGAAGTAATTTAAAGTTTTTAAGACTGATGGATTTAACTGAGTGGTTGTGATAGTGAAATGTGAGAGTGAATGGAATGCGGTCGGAATCTTCCTTATGCGACGTTTGTAGTGCTGAATGTCGATCAATAAGTTGGGCGCGGTGGTAACCCGTTTGAACGACAGAAACAGGGTAACCACGTTTATCGAAAAACTGGCACATTGACTCATAGATTGACACATAGATTCGACAGTCATCTGCATAGAGGTGGTAAAGGAGACCATGCTTTCGAATGATGTCAGCAAGAGAGGCTGTATAAAGTATATACAAAATTGGCCCAAGTACAGATCCTTGAGGCACTCCCCATTGTGGCTCCGTAGATGATGTGGTCGACCGTATCAAAAGCGGTTGATAAGTCTAACAACAAAAAAAGCACATTTTCCTGTTTATCGATTGCATTGTAAGAGGAAACAGGATGGAACTGAAATTTCTCAATTATTGATTAGGAAAGCAGTCGTAGCTGAGGGTGTCTTTCAGGGTAAACCTTTTGAAATCACTAAGGATTTCGCTGGAAAACTTACTCACTCGAAAATGACCTCGGAGAGGTCGAAACGTCGTGACTTCTTAGCGCCAGCTTTTATTTCAAAGTCGATTTCTAAGAAACTACTTATTAAGATTTTGAAACGCGATAACCAGCTTCACTTGTTCAGCAGACTTGAACAGTGCAGCATAAAACAAGTCAACTACGAGACTGCGGTTGAATTTTTAAAGTTATTTCAAAACTTTGAGCTGACACCGACTTTTGCGAGAGTCGAGAAGACTAAATCTGAGAAATGGAATAGATCATCCCTATCTTTGAACAGAATGTGGTCGGTGAAGAACTTCGCCAGAAAACTAAGCAAATGGCGGAGTTGAAAAGGGAAATTAATGAGGCGTACCGAAAAATCCAAGAAGAATGCTCGCCTCTTCGCTACATCTACAGTCTGAAAACGATGGTCACCTTTCGCAACGAGCAGTATCAACAACAGATGAGTGGCCATACTAAAAAGATCTCAAGACTTCTCACCGCCGATACGAACATTGATGAGCATATCAAGAACATATCTTCGTACAGGCTGTCCTTCTTCCAAAAGCTGGTCCTGTGTAGAGGGCTTAACTTTGCTCTACCACAACGAATATCATCAAGGGAAATCCATGCAACCTTTGAGAAAGCTTATTGGAAACTAGAAGTGAATCTCAATGACAGCGGTTTAAAAGAATTAGCAGCAGCAACCCTGAGGTCTATTGCGCTTAATTACAGCGAACGAAAGGGTCCATCACCACCGAAAGCAATGTTGAGAGCGATAAGTCAACTGAAGAAGAAAGATGACATTGCTATCACAAAGCCTGATACGGGCTCTGGCGTTGTCGTAATGGATAAATCAGACTATGTACGTCTGTTGAAAGAATCATCGATTAATGACGAGACGAAATTCGTACCCGTAAGCCTTGAGAGACCAAGAACACGAGGTAGGCCTCCGAAGTTTTACCATCCATTGCTTCAAAAAGAGAAAGAGGTGTACTCGGCTGTACAACGGATTCTACCAAAAGCATCGCTGACTCAGTCATCCAAAAGGGTTCCAGACTCGCACATCTTTACGTTCTTCCAAAACCCCACAAGAAGAAGTTAGCCATGCATCCGATTTTATCAGCTACAGGAACGTATAATTATAAACTTGCCAAGTGGCTGGACGAGAAGCTGAAGCCCCTGTCTGTCAACGAACATATGGTTAGCGATATTTATGTTTTTGCCGACGAACTTCGTGAAATGAAAATCAAGGACCGCGAAGTTTTGGTGTCGTATGATGTATCGTCACTGTTTATTAACGTTTCTGTGGATGAAACCATCGAGAGCATCACAGAGAGAGCCTTTGAAAACGACTGGTTCAACAGAGAATACGATCCTAACATCACGAAGTCAGATTTGATGGAGCTGGTAAGAATCGCCACCAAAAATCAGCTACATTTTTCAGTTCGAAGGAAAGTTGTACGAACAAGTGGACGGTGTAGCTATGGGATCGCCACTGGGTCCCCTCATGGCAAACGCCTTCATGTGTAGAATTGAGAAACAGCTAGAAAGAGAGAACAAGATGCCTATCTTCTACAAGCGCTTTGTAGATGATACACTTAGTGTAATACCTGATCCGGAAGCAGCCTCAGAATTTCTGGACACATTGAACAAGTCTCATCCCTCTACTGATTTCACAATGGAACTCCAAGAAAATGGTAGGCTTCCCTTTCTCGGAATGGATATTATCAGGAATGAATGCCGCCTAGACACCATGGTCTACAGAAAACCGTCGGACAAAGGGCTTTTGCTACACTATCACAGTCACGTTGACGCCAGATACAAAACGGTCACTGCTGATCACCATGCTAAACAATGCGTTTTAACTCTTTTCTACGTGGAAGTTTTTTCATGAGGAATGTGAACGCCTTAAACAGATCTTCTCCCAACTGCGCTATCCTGATGACCTTGTGCAGTCAACCATTCGCAGATTCGTTGAATCAAAAGTGTCTGAGTATTCACATACCCGAATGGCTGATAAAAGAGAAGCCCCAGTCAGAATCGTGTTGCCTTACAAGGACCAGAAATCTGCAAATGTAGTACGAAAACAATTGGCTGACCTCAGTCGGAAGATCAACGTCGATATTAGCCCAGTTTATACAAGTAAAAAGATCAAGAATGAAATTAGGGTCATGGAAGACAAACCGCCTCTTGTGAGTCAACAATGCGTGGTGTATTCATTTCAGTGTGACCTGTGCGATGCAGGCTATGTCGGCTACACGTACCGACACTTGCACCAACGAATTGAAGAACACAAAGGATCGGCAATCGGACGCCACCTCAGAGAGCAGCATGACATGGAGCCAGAAGACATCGCACAGAGTTTTCGAATCTTAAGGAAGTGTCAGAACAAATTTGACTGTCTTGTTTTTGAAATGTTTTTTTATCAAAGAACTGAAACCAACGCTAAACAAACAGTGCGATTCAATTCGCGCCAAACTATTTGTTTAGAACAATTCGTGCTACGATTACTTTATTCTTTTATTCCTTTATTCTTTTATTCTCTTCCATTGTATATTGTTTACACTTTTTCACGTATTTTAGTGTTCGCCACATTTTATCGTCTTCAACTTGCTTCAACATATTTATGCTGATTTGGAAAACTTACTGACTTGAAAATGATCTCAGAGGTCGAAACGTCGTGACTTCTTAGCGCTAGCTTTTATTTCAAAGTCGATTTCGCTGTAATCATAGATTTATATTTCTGAAGATGTTCTTTTTTAGCAATAAAAAGCTTTTCCTTGACTTGATCTCAGTACAAAAGGTATCTTTCCCAGTCTTCAAACATTCCTGTACGACGAGCAAGTTTTGTAACATGTTCTCAGTAATGTCAATTAATTCTTTAATCTCCTGGTCTGTAAATGGGCACTGGCGATATTTGACCTTCATGTATCGAACAGGTGCATGCTTGTTAAGCACCTCTAAAAAGTGACGATCGAAATGTTATAGCATCTCATTAGCATCATTGATCATGGAGATCTCGTGCCAAGGGACTTAAGCTGGGTCCTCCACAAGCCTGTCCCGATCATAGCTTTAGAATTTATTGCTATGATTGAATAGCGCTTCACTTAAGTTGGTTTCCACTACGCCACTCTCAGCGACAAGGGCAGCGTTTGATGTCAAGATGAAGTTAATCAAGGTTTCATGTTAGTCAGTTGCAGACGGGATTTCATTG